GTGATACCACAAAATTGGTATCTGGTGCACTTACATTTCCAGTCCCCCTTTTGAGCCCAAGATGACTTTTTGGCCTATAGATTTTGCGGGTATATATCCGATATAGAGATGAACCTTTTTATCAGCTTCTTTTTCAAGACTGGGAACTCAATGCGCATTCCATCAAGCCATTACAGCCTGGTGAAACTGTTAATTAAATAAATAGCTTTCATTACACTTTAATATAACTAGGAGATTACAAATCTATTAGGAGGAGAGGAGGTGACTTGGGAAGAATGTAAATCTTTTAGAGGAGGAATTTACCTGAGGAGGTTGCAAATATTTTGAGGAGGTGACCTGAAGAGATTGCAGATCTTTTAAGAGAATAAGTGACATGAGGAGGTTGTAAACATTTTCTAAGAGGGGGTGACCTGAGGAGGTTACAAACCTTTTAGATGAATAGTTTACAAACCTTTTAGGAAAGGAGGCGATCTGAGAAGGTTGCAAACCTTTTAGGTGAGGAGGTGACCTGAGAAGGTTGCAAACCTTTTAGGTGAGGAGGTGACTTGAGGAGGTTGCAAACCTTTTAGATGAAAAGGTTACAAACCTTTTAGGAAAGGAGGTGACCTGAGAAGGTTGCAAACCTTTTAGGTGAGGAGGTGACCTGAGAAGGTTGCAAACCTTTTAGGAAAGGAGGTGACCTGAGAAGGTTGCAAACCTTAGGAAAGGAGATGACCTGAGAAGGTTGCAAACCTTTTAGGTGAGGAGGTGACCTGAGGAGGCTGCAAACCTTTTAGATGAAAAGGTTATAAACATTTTAGGAAAGGAGGTGACCTGAGAAGGTTGCAAACCTTTTAGGTGAGGAGGTGACCTGAGAAGGTTGCAAACCTTTTAGGTGAGGAGGTGACCTGAGAAGGTTGCAAACCTTTTAGGTGAGGAGGTGACCTGAGAAGGTTGCAAACCTTTTAGGAAAGGAGGTGACCTGAGAAGGTTGCAAACCTTTTAGGTGAGGAGGTGACTTGAAGAGGTGGCAGATCTTTTAGGAGAAGCCCCCTGCGGATGTTCGTTCAATATTGTTGTGACACAATAGGGGAGATAAATATAATTTCGTAGTTTAGCACAGAGAGTGAGCGTTTCCTAAAGTTCAATCTTTTCAGTGCCTGTCATTCTAATGGCAAATGTTCTCAGGCCAAAGTGCTCAGCAAATGAAAAAGGCAACAACATTTTTTGTTTTGTATTAAAATATTGAGTAATCCGTCTGCTATAATAAGTGTTTTTTTTTTATTTGCAGTTATCGTGATGTGCGCTTCACCCGATACTGTTCGAGAAATCATGCTGGCTGCTGAAGAACTCGGAATGATCAGCAGTGGAGAATATGTTTTCTTCAGCATCGAACTTTTTACCAGGTATGTGCCATTTTATATATATATATATATCTGTGCTAAATTAAATTAAATTCAATTTAGCACGGGATCACAAAAGTTAAAAAATTTTATGCTAAATTGGCATTTCTTTATAAATATATCACGATGAAAAAATAAAAAATTAATGGGGGAATGTCAACAAGAAATTTCGCCTCTATTAAATGAGATTTAATTGAAGAGCATATAATTCTGTAAATATTAATGTATGTTTCAATATATCGCAATACAAAAATTAAATTAATGGATGAATGCTAACAAGTGATTTTACTTGATTAATGATTTAATTTATCTTGAGATCGCAGCAAAACATAGATATATGTAACAATATATTCTAAAGTCTGTCGCAATGCAAAAAGGAATTAATGGATGAATGTCAACAAAAAATTTTTGTTTGACAAAAAAATACATTTAATTTAACATGAGATTACAGCTAATCATATATTTTTGCCAAATTGATATGTTATTAATATATTATATGCATAAATCTATCGCAAAGAAAAATGTAAATAATGGATGAATGCTAACAAAAATTTTGTTTGATTAAAAAAACTTTAATTTAACATGAAGTTACAACCAATTATGTATTTTTGTCACTTTAATACATTCTAAAATCTATCGCAATGAAAAAAGGAATTAATGGATGAATGTCAACAAAAAATTTTATTTGACAGAAATACATTTAATTTAACATGAGATTACAGCTAATCATATATTTTTGCCAAATTGATATGTTATTAATATATTATCTGCATAAATCTATCGCAAAGAAAAAATGTAAATAATGGATGAATATTAACAAAAAATTTTGTTTGATTAAAAAAAAAACTTTAATTTAACATGAAGTTACAACCAATTATGTATTTTTGTCACTTTAATACATTCTAAAATCTATCGCAATGAAAAAAAAGGGATTAATGGATGAATGTAATAAGAAATTCTTTAACTGTTTAAAATTCAATTTTTTATAGACTAAAGTAGACAGAGTTAAATATTAACTTATGGGCCCAATAATATAAAACAATCTACAATATGTATTTATTGTTGTATATTTTACAACTTCAAATATTCAAGAAATATTTAACAAATCCCGATTAAATAAATAAATATTTGGAATTTCATTACTTCGTTCAATGTTATGAATAATATTTACTTTATTAATTAATAGTCTTGCAAATTAGTAAACTTTACTATTTAAAAATACAGAAATAATTTATAAAATTAAAAGAAACAAAATAGATTTTGCAGAAATAATTATACCTTGCAAATATCATGCGACCTAACAATATAAAAAACACATTTATATTGTTAGATCACCTGCTATTTGAAATGAAAAAATATCAATGCCCCTGTAAATGAAAGTACATCTAGGTATTTAAAAAAAAACGTTTTCGATTGTGGTTAAATTAAAATAAGTCAAAATAATTTTTTACTTTTTGAAAACTTCATTATGAATAAAAATACGTATAAATTTTTTTGAATATTGATTTAATATCTGTTTTAAAATTAAAACATAGACAGAGAAAAACCCAGACACAAAAATCAATAGTTGCAAAAAACGTTCAAATAAATTAATGAATAAAAACGCGAATATCATTTATTTCTGATTATTAATTGTTAACAGATAGAAAAAAATTTTTTTTTCGTTCTTGAGTGTCAATTTTTTAAAAAACAGTGAGATTATTATTTTTTATTTGATATGAATGTCTGTAATTAAGAAATAATGACTAAAAACTCGAAAAATATTATTTTTTATTATCAATCTAGTAATTGGGAAATTTTTCTAAATTTCTAGATATAACTTTTTTACTGTTTTCGTTGTCCATCAAATAAAAATTCTGATTAAAAAATTGTTAGCCAGTAATCTTCCATTGAAACTTAATCGTCACGAACAGCGGTTTATTCAAATAAAATTTATGTAAAATCTGAGATTTAGCACTTTAAACACTTTACATAACTTAAGAATTGTGTGATTAATCACATGGATGATTGATTCAGCTGAATTATATGGGAGCTTCACCAAAAAAAAAAATAAAATTGTAAATGTAAAGAACAAGGGGCATTTGCCAAAACCGCCATAAATCTTCTTGTATTTTACCAACATCCTATTCATTATTTCATTATTTGTAACTTCAATGGTCATATATTGTTATGAAGCAAAGAGAAAATAAATTGAATTTAAAAAACTTTATTGGAATTCAGAAGATTGCTCAACTCTTGGCTCACTGATAAAGTACACAGATATTGCATTGAAGGATAAATGTTTGAATCTATTGATGGTGTCTGATGAAATTACTGCTTTTTAGTAACGAGGAGATTCGTTGATTACTGCTACGACATCTGTAAAACCTCGAAAGTTAGGGTCGCTTGTGGGAAAATAACGTTATTCCTCCATGAAGGCAATTTCTTCCCTTATTGCCAGTCTATGGTTTATATATGGCTTACAGCCTGTAAAACAATGAGATACGATGATGATAAATCAACAAGATAATTGCTGCTAAAAACAACGAAAATAAATATGTTTAACAAGGTAATAATTATGCTCGCATTCGTTCAAGTATTCGTTTTGGTATCTTCTTTTATAAATGAATTACTTCAATCACCGCATTTAAATCGCTTATAAACACATCGAAAGAATGAGAAAACGGAACAATAAATAAAAACAAAAATTGATTACCTGATTAAATTACTAATTGATTAAGTCACAACAGAGAAACCTCGGTGCATAAATTATTAGACAGTCTAGTCGTTTTGATATCAGAATACTTAAAAGAGCTGTAAATGCTAAAAAGACTTACTAATCTTAATTTTTTTAAAGTATACACTTATTTTAGGACATATTTTGATTTTTTAAATGCTTTTTTAAATGTGGTTAGTTATTATCAGGAGAGGGCGCTTTCTTTACTTTTTTAGTATTGATTAAAAAAACAAACTTTATTATTTAAATAACATCATTTCATTATTGCGTATAAAGATATTATTGAAAATTTTTCTCAAAAGTCTATACTGTCAACAACAAACTGATGTACTTATTCTATAAAATTCATAGTATCCATCCATTTATAGGAGGCAATGTATGTTAAATTTACGTTTACAATAAATGTTTGGTGAAAAATACAGACATTTTAATAAAATAAAGTTTTACTTAAAATTAGTTATTATGGTTAAATGAAAAATAAATTAAAATAGTTAAATACTATGCAATTTTTTATTTATTTATTTATTGAAGCAATATACATTGTTGATATAACACTGTATATTAATACGTATCGAAAAACGGTAAAACTTATCTAGTATTTGCTAAATTCTTTTTGAAACTTAGATGAAAATAAGTCCAGAATCAAAAATAATAATAATAATAACAAAAAAAATAATAAAAAAGTGTAAAATGAAGTTTTCGTTACTTTTCATTACTGATTAAAAAAAAGCTTTATTATTTAAATAAAATAAACTTTATTAATACGCATAAAGACATTGTTAAAAATATTTTCAAAAATCTACCATGTCATAACAAATTGTGGTATTTATTCTATAGCTAATTCAAAATTCATAGTATTCATTCATTTATAGGAGCCATTGTATTTAAATTTACATTTGCAATCCGGTTCTCGTTAGATCACCGAAGTCAAGCATCTTTGGGCACGGTCAGTACTTGGGTGGGTGACCACCTGGGAAAACGCCGCGTGCTGTTGGCATTCACAAATTTGGGACCTGAATGGGCGAGTGTTTAGCGCTCTGGCGCTCGGTGCCACAGGTATCGGGTTCGAATCCCGGCGGTGCCCATGGATGTTTGTAGTGGTTCGAATCCACTTTAAGCCGTAGGTCCCGGTTTCCTATGACTGTAAGAGCTTCACGCAGCCAAAGTCAGACTTCTACCTACGGGTGCTCTATCACAACAGAAGCTGCTTCCTTCCCCTTCAATCATGAGTACGTATGGGCTCGTGGGCTTGGCCAGCCAAGTGGGATAAGAAACAACAACAACATATTAATAGATTTCACAAAAATCTACCATATCAACAATAAACTATTGTAATTATTCTCTGAAATTTATAGTTTCCATACATTTATAAGAGCTATTGTATATAAAATGTACTTTTACAATGAATATTTGGTAAAAAATGCGTTATAATGAAATAAAGATTAACTTAAAATTAATTAATATGATTAAAATAAAAACAGAATTAAGATCGTTAAATTCTATACAATGTTTTATTTATTTATTTACGTAATGTACTTGGTTTATGTAACGATTGAAAAACAATAAATCCTATCATCTATTATTTACTAAATTATTTGATCTTCTTTGAAAATAAGTCCAGAACCAAAAAGATTAACAAGTGTAGAAACAAATGTTAAGTTAAATAAAACATTTAAATTAGAGACATCCAACAAATATCATGAAATTAAGCTACTAAAAGTATTTATAATGCAAATGTAAATATTTTATAACTTAAAAAATTCTCTTGCTTTTAACATGCATAATTAAATGATTTCAACAAGTAATTAAAGGGACTTCAACCCCAATTCAGTATTTCAACTACAGTTTAAATGAGCGGAGATGGTTCAATTCGGTATTGGACAAGTCCTAATTTTATGACTAAATTACTCTGAAATAAATTAAAGAAATACTTTCAAATAAATGCGTATTGCCGAGAATTAGTCTTAATTCACTTTGTCGGAACTTCAGCATCGAATTTAGTTCCAATTACAAATTGTTTAAGAAATTGAAAAATTGAGCAAACTATTTGCAAGATTAAAAATTTATTCCATGAATTGTAGTTTTGTTGGGATTTTATTATCAGTAAACCTTATTATCGTTTTTTGGTAGAATATAAATAATAAAATGTTTTGCTTCTTTTGTGAAACTATCAAATTCTCGTTTTTACCTTATATCTTTTGGGCCTGAATGGCCAGCTTTAAATGAGCGCTCTGGCGCTCGAATTCAGGTTTCGGTTCGAGTCCCGGCGGTGCCATGGATGTTTGTAGTGGTTCGAATCCACTTTGCCGTAGGTCCCGGCCTTAATAGGATCGTAGAGCGTTGCGGGGGCATTGTTACTCCGTGGTTTATCTTCAAGTTACACGCGCTCCTGGGTAGAGCAAAGTGAGTAACGTCTGAGCAGTTTTTTGCCTTAAGCCATCAAATAAGCTGTCTAAGTGTTTGCCAGCTGCATTGGAAAAAAAAAACCTTATATCTGTTAAATGAAACATTTTTATTAAAAAAAAAAAATGCTTTAATTTGTCACTATTAATAATTGTCGAACAAATTAACTTTAGAAAAAATTATTTACAGATGTATGTATATATATATGTATAAGTAAAAGAAAGAAATAAAAAAAGTAAATAAGTTATTAAAGAAAAAAAAAGTAAATAGGTTATTAACAAAGCACTTTAACATGTATTTTGAAAACAATGCTTAAACGCACAGTTAAATATCGTAGAAAATGGTCTGATGACCGAGTGGCTAACGCTCTGGCTCTCGGCACCTCAGGTTTTGGGTTCGAACCCGGCTGTTCCATTGATGTTGGTAGTTGTTCGGAATCCACTCTAAAATGTAGGTCCCCGTATAATATGATAATAAAAGCTTTGTGGTGGTAGTGTTAGTCGATTCAATCGCATATCTTCAAGCTGCACGTGCCTCTAGGTAGTGCTAAGTGAGTAACAGTGTTGCAGCTCTTGCTTATGGCATAAAAATTAACTGTGTCTGTATTGTCAGCTGCATTAGAACAACAACATACAAAAGTAAAAAAAAGAGATAAAATAAATTTAAACCAATTTTTTTTAAACAGTAAATACGTTATTAAATCTATTTTTCTTAACATGTATCTTGAACAGAACGCATGAATGCATAGCTAATTATCACAAAAAATAAAATATAAAAACCCACTATGTAAAACCTTATATTGAATATTATTAAAAAAAAGCGTTAGGAAAGAGATAATTTAAATATTTTTAATATTTAACGACAAATACAAAAAATTAATAAACCCAAAACACAAATAATAAAAAATAATTAAATACACGTGAAATACATAAGTAAAAAATTTTAAACAGACAACTAAACTGATGAATTCTACCTTCTTTCAATACATCAGTTTTTCTAATACCACAGATAGTTCTATTTTACAGAGGAAACATCAGAGCATTTTCTGGATAATATTTCCATTTAAACATGCTTTAAGATCGCTGAAAATTTAGCATTTTTACTTCAAAACTAAAGTTCTAAAGAACATTTTACCAGCTTGTTCCTTTGGAAAGCTAAAATCTTAAAAGTATTGTAAATGATTGATGATCTCAAAAATCTTGCTAAAACTCAGTATATGAGTTTAATGAGTAGAGGCGAACCAATTCAGGAGCCGAAATATATGATAAATGGCATGGAGTCACACAATGTTAGACTTCAACCGTTTATCAGAAGTGATTAATTGCCAGTTTTCGGATTTTCTGTTTTGATACAAGAGATAACCAAAAACGAATTTATAAGTCTCATACAACAATATTTGTATTCAAAACATATAGATTCTTCATGATTTTTTTGCATTAAAATTAATGTACCAATTAAACTATTGGTAGTTTACTAATAAAAAGTAATTTTTAAAAATATTTATTGCAGACATTTTTCCGAAAGATTAATGCTAAAATGATTCGAAGATATATTTGTTTAAACATCAGAAAGATTATATTTAACTGAAATATCGTTTTAATAAAATATTGCTAATATTTAATTATGCATACGGTTGCTAATATTTATGAACACGTTTGCTTATATTTATGAATACGATTGCTAATATTTATAAATATAAGTGTTGATATTTAATTATGCATACGATTGCTAATATTAACAATCGTATGCATATTTAAGTATTTAATTATGCATACGGTTGCTAATATTTAATTATATTGTATATTATATTGTTATTTATGTTGTATAATATTTTTAAAAACATCAAAAAAAGAGATCATTAAAAGGTTTCTAAAATTTAACGACACATACAAAAATTAATAAACTCAAAACGCAAATATTTTTTTTTTTAAAAAAGTTAACAGCAAAACATTTTAAACAGACAACTAAACTGAAGATTTCTACCTTCTTTGTATACATCAGTTTTCTAATATCAAAGATAGTTATACTTTACAGAGGAAATATGAGTGCACTTTCTGGGTAATATTTCCATTAAACATATTTTTTAAGAATGCTAAAAATGTAACATTTTTACTTTAAAACCGAAGTTCTAAAAGTATTTTAACCTCTTGTTTCTGTGGAAAGCTAAAATCTTAGAAGTATTGATAATGATTGATGATCTCAAAAACTCACTCTGCTAAAACTCAGTATATATGAGTTTAATGCGTGAAGGTGAACCAATTCAGAAGCCAAAGTATGTGATAAATGGGATGGAGTCAACAATGTTGGACTTGAATCATTTACCAGGAATGATTAATTGCCAGTTTTAAGATTTTGTGTTTTCATACAAGAGATAACCAAAATTAATTATGAATCTCATACAGAAATATTTGAATTCAAAACATAAAGATTCTCATCATGATTTTTCCCAATAAAATTAATATACCAATCAGACTATTGGCAGTTTACTAACAAAAATAAATCTGAAAATATTTAATATGGAAACTTTTTTGCAGAAGATTAATGCCAAATGATACGCAGTTATATTTATTCAAAACATCAGAAATATTATATTTAACAGAAATATTGATTTAATAAAATAGTGTTAATATTTAATTATGCGTAAGGTTGCTAATATTTTTAAATACGATTGCTAATAATTATAAATATGAGTGTTGATATTTAATTATGCACAATATTGTTAATATTTAAATATGCAATTTTTACCTTCTTTCAATATATTAGTTTTTCTTATACCACAGAAATTTCTATTTTACAGAGAAAGCTTGAGCACATTTTCTGGATAATGTTTTCAATAAACATACTTTACGATTGCTAAAAATTGAACATTTTTACTTCAAAACCAAAGTTCTAAAGAGTACTTTAACCTCATGTTCCTGTGGAAAAGTTAAAATCTTAGAAGTATTGTTAATGATTGATGATGTGAAAATCTTGCTAAAACTCAGTATATGAGTTTAATGAGTATAGGCGAACCAATTCAGAAGCCAAAAAATATATGATAAATGGCATGAAGTCACACAATGTTAGACTTCAACTATTTATCAGCAGTGATTAATTGCCAGTTTTCGAATTTTGTGTTTTGATGCAAGCGATAACCAAAACAAATTATTAATCTAATAGAGCAATATTTGAATTCAAAACATTCAGATTCTCATCATGATTTTTGTACATTAAAATTAATGTACCAATAAACTATTGATAGTTTGCTAGCAAAAATAAATTATAAAGATTTATTATGCAAATATTTATGTAAGATTAGTGCTAAAATGAGACGAAGATATATTTATTCAAAACATCAGAAAGATTATGTTTAACTGAAATATCATTTTAATAAAATATTGCTAATATTTAATTATGCATATGGTTGATAATATTTATGAATATGATTTTTAATATTTATGAATATGATTTTTAATATTTATGAATACGATTGCTAATATTTATAAATATGAGTTTTAATATTTAATTATGCATACGATTTCTAATATTTATAAATAAGATTGTTAATATTTAATTATGCATACGATTGCTAATATTTATAAATACGAT